GTGTGTGTGTGTGTGTGTGTGTGTGTGTGTGTGGCCCCCCTGTTCCTAAGGGGTTCTGCGGTCGTGCCTCTCTCTCCTTATTGGAGTATGCCCATGCCAGCAAACCGACCCCTTTCTTAGTACCTCGTCGCGGTAGTCATGGGCACTGACGAGTAGCCGCGGCGAGCGAACAGATCGGGAAGGCTAGCTGACGAAACTCCACTTTTCAGGTACTTGGGGATGCACCCTTGCATTGTTGCCGTCTCATATCAAGTGTGTTTAGGCACTGCGTCCGGGCTTCGGTCAGTGTCTTGATCCCTGTTGTGGGCATCTGTTCCGACTCATGCAATGACAATTTGTACAGACAGTTACCGGACCTTGTCGCTCGTGACGCTTGACTGTTCCAGCTGACCTTCTCAATACAGGCTTGGACTTCTCCCAGACCTTCCGGCACCCCAGACTGTTTTCCGTGAACCTTTTCTGTCGGACCAACCCACCAGACCACCCGACACATCAGGTGAGAAATCATGACGCCGTCAGCTTGCTCTTGGCTCGCAATTGTCGGCAACAGATGCCTCGCCCCAACGCAGGTCCGATGTCGAACTCAGCAGGCCCCATGACCAAGGCATCCAGGAACACTGCCGGCCCTACGCCGCCCAGGTCACCAGTGCACCAGACAGCATCACCGAGCAGGAGTGCGCTTGTGACACCAGCTTCTAGCATATCTTGCGCGGTGTCCAGCACCTCAAGGGCTACCAAACCTGCGGTTCCGGCTCCTGCTCCCGGCGACGCCTCGGCATCGATCCCTACATTGCCTGTCTGGCCTGCATCAGTAGCTGGCCCCCTGCCGCAAATCCTGGTGAAAGCACGCCCGGCCACACCGATGACTCCAATGACTCCAATGACGCCAACTACCCCAACAGCTTCAACTACAGCATGCCCACCTATGACCACAGCACCGACCCCTATCGCACCGATCCCTACGGCAACCCCATCAGGTCAGATGCTTCCACCGCCCAACCCACCATCCAGGTCACGCCACACAACGGAGGGAGATCGATCACGTTCCCACAACGCGTCCCCCTACTCCAAGTCAGTGCCCCCACAGCGGCGAGGTCGAGCTCGCTCCAGGACGCCACCACCGATCTCCCGAAGGGACTCAACATCGGACAACTCCATCACGGCAGCATCGGATCCTGCCGCGTCGGCGCCCACAGCAGCCAAGTCCTCATCCCGGGCGCCTACGGCAACTAAAGCCTCATCCCGACGACCGAGAAGCAATCGATCTCCACTTCCGCGCAGCAGAAGCAGTGCCCCATCGGCTCCAGCCTCAAAGGCCACAGGTGCTCACCCAGATGTGGGGTCGTCTCGAGGAGCATGCAACTACGCCCAAATCCGCAGGCGAACCCACCGCTGATCCTGCTTCCCAACCCGGAGTCTGACCCCTGGAGGAACGAACTTCAGGTGCTTGCCGCACCGTATCTCCGCGATGGGATCCCGGTCAATCAGGAGCAGATGGACTATGTGGCCGCTACCTTGAATGCAGCCGGCATACCGTCTCAGCACTCCACTCTGAACTATGCGAAGGTCAACCCGGACCATCACTTTTATAAGATCACCCCGCACTGGTTCATGCTGACCGTCCCCTACCTTGGCGCCACAGTTCGGCTCAAAGAACCGACGAAGACGCGACCCATGCTGCTCTGGACTCACGCATCCAGTGTCGGCGGTACTCGAGGCATCCTGCGGAGCCGACAGATCCATCCTTCCCGGCAGCACTCCTCGGAGTGCCCAGCCTTTTACGCCCAGGGCTGGAAGATCACTGGACACGCCGACTATGACGCTGAAGAAATTGCTCGCACGATGAGCCAGAACTGGAGCATGTCTTTTAACATGGCCCAATTGCTGTTGTTTGGACGCGCTGTCGGCACCTGTCAGCCGATTCGATCGGGAGGAGAGCAAGCTTGCATTGAGGCCCTGGATTCCAGTGAACGTCCTGATGTTATCCACTATGTGTCGGGCAAGTGTTGGATGGTGATCCCGGAGGCAAGTCAGATCGTTGGACTCGCATGGCCTACCGATACAAAGCCACCCACCGGTGTCCTCCGCTCGTGAACCTGCACCAGGAGCTGCTGCAACCAATGACAATTAATGATGTTTCATTGCGAATAAGAGCATACTTCGCCACACTGCCGTCTTCGACCACCGACGATATTTTGCGACAAAAAGTGCACGCCAGAGCCTCATTCAAGCACGTGTTGGCCTTACCGCGGGTTCTTTCCCTTTTTGATGAGTCGTGTGACTAATGCTGTTTCCCTGTTTCAAACTGCCCTGAGCCTGGTTGAAATTCGGGCGCCGTTTTGACAATGTCTGCCGTCTCGGCGATGTGTGACGTATCCCTAGCTTTTGATCTATTAGCAGTGTTGATGGCACACTCCCATCTCGTGATGGCTTCTCAGTGGAACTATTCATGGCCGGCGACATCGGCACCCTCCTCCTCTTCGCATCCGGGATCCTCGTA